AAACGTGACTTCAACATTGAAGCTCGCAATGTTTTGGCGCGAAACAAGCCGCTTTGGAGGGTCAACGATTCAAACTCGCGTGCGGGGGCGTCGAGCGCGCGCCAAGCCCCAACGAGTCTCATTCCGCAATTTCCTTTCTTGTGAACACTCGGGTTCATACCGACTGCCCCCACCCATCTCTGCTAACCCACCCGCCGCCTGACACTGACCGATGTCACTACCATTGCACGCTGCCTGACACCACCGAAATCTCTGGTGGAAATGCTGTGCTGTCGTCACGCTGGTCCACACATAAGATGCTAACGCCGACAAGTCGCTGTCGCCACGCCGGTCCGCACGCTGTACGATGCTAACGCTACATGGGCGCCGAACGTCAGTCATACATGCTGCCCGTTTGGAGCGATACCGTTGCTACACTGGCCGCTGCATTCCCTAACCGATGTGAACACGAAGCGTCAGCGGCAACAACAATCATGCGCGGTAGCTACTACGACGGTTTGTACAAGGTGTGGCTGGTGATTAGACTGCGAATTTCCGACTGATGTCCATTGTGTTGGACCTGCAGCGATTGCTACACACGCTGCTCGTCAAACGCCAATTCATCTTGTCGGCAGGCACGGAACAGTGCGAGAGGATGTAGCCTCTTTGCTAGTCGTTGGCCACCTTGACTAATGCAAATTCGTCCCACCAGCAGCCACTTGCACCTCGCCGATGGTCTGGGAGAAAATGCAGTTCACGATGACTCGCAACCGGCCATATGGACATTTGACGCAATAATATCTTCACGTTGAGAGCTACCGAAGCGTGGTTTGTCCTCAAGCTTGCAGTGTAGTGTGGGTAGTTTTGCTTACAAAAATCTGCACCAACCAAGTATCTATAAATCCACTTCTCATTTTTTTCATATAATCAAATTGCTGTACCGATGCGACACCGGAACTAGTGACCAGCGGTCACGTGAGCCACGTGAGCCTAACGCGTAGTCCTCTTGCTTGCATTTGATCGGAGGAAAGGTGCCTGCATTTTGTATATCGAAGAGCTTCGCATGAGATGACCTTCGAGATTGTAGACCAGATTAGGCAGATAATATCCATGGTACTTCTGCCAGCATGACCATGACGCTTCTTGACAAAGATGTGGCTTGGATTTATCGATTGGGTAGGTGCGTTTGCACAAAGCAACTTTGTGCTTTTCGCAGTAGTCTGTCTTTTGAGTTGGATTTCTGCATTCAAAGCGACACACAGTACACTCACGCATCGCTCGACTTCGATCTTTTAGTGCTATCCATGACTCCCGTGCCACGCATACGTCATTGGTACCACTCGAAACAGCAGTGTTAGCAGCATGACAAAGAGAAGAAGTAGGTCCATCGTTGCTATTGGCAAATAGCATCCCATCATCGTCACTAAGAGACTCTTTCCACGTTCCATCGAACATTTCGCGAACAAGGCTTGCGACAAATGCACGGTGCTCGTCTCGACGACTCGATTCCGGACTATCTTCGCCATCACTGAATCCCGAGTGATTGCTACGGCGAGCCATTTGATGGCATATGTAAGCATTACATCGCGCGATGTCAATCATCGCCATAGCCAGCTTTTTATACCACTTCTTAAACGTGTGACCATTGGCCACAGAAAATCTACCCCGTAGTTGGTCGTGACGATCTACTCCTTGCATCGCGGTGTTGTATTCACTGACGCATTTTGGGGCTTTAAAGGGCTCCCGCTGTTGTCGAATCCGTCGATATACAGTTGTGGTACCCGAGTCATCAGCATTTGAAATGACATTGACTACCGATCCATCCACCCAACTAGCCGCCACGATGTGTTTTTCCACGCACACCCCTTGCTTCATGGTGCCTCTCTTAGTATCGGTCGACCCAACCATCGTATAACGCGGGAAGTGTTTACTGGAAGAACGGACGGTGCCTCGCCCGTAAAGACCAACCGTTCTCAGGCTTTCCAGCAATAAACACGATGTGTAGAAGTTATCAGTGTTTACCACCCGCCTCGAACCTCTTAGCGAATTTGTGACTTCAATGACATGTTTCCGAATCTCTGAAGACTTTTCTGTCAACGCCGCAAGACGATCTATTTCCGCAGGAGAAATTACATTTGCTAGGCGATTTTTCAGGTCACTGGAGCAGTGAAGTTTGAAATCAAGGACAATCCATGTCGTCGAACAGCAGCAGACATACAATTTGAAGTGATATTTTCCAGTCGGCTTGCGTGGATTATAGACGATGATGTGTCTGGCGTACTTTGATTTACTCGCAATACTCGCTTCGTCCACAGCCACATCTCGCCCCGGAATAACGTGACGGCAGCATCTTATTTTCAAAATTGTTATCAGAGGACGTATACTTGCTGCAGGATCACTCGACAGCTCCTCAGCACTTGTACGAGGGCGAAACGATAAATTTTTTCTAATGTATAGATACCTTTTCCAGCTCATAACAGTAGCCAAACTTGTCGACGATTGTCCAGGAAAAATATTTGAGTCTTCATTGTCAAACCAATAATTTCGCATCTCGCCCTTGTCGACAAGTGTCATGTACCACTGAATCCCAAGAAATATCATCAATTCTTCCAGCTCAATAGGTGCTCCAAGTTGACCAGAGGTTTCTGCAGCACGACCGTTTGAAAAAGTCACCACTTGTTTCCAAAACGAAATAGGGATAAACGCAAAGAAACTCGAGCTTGCACTTTTTCCAAAAAGATGTTTACTTTCTTCGCGTAATTTTGTGGTTGTAGACCCATCGGGGTGAGCAAACAGGCCTGGTACTTCGTCAAGCGAAGCCGTAGGTGAGAATGTCATACCTTGGATAAGCTCGACTTCTGCTGGACACAAATCAATTTGAAGCTCTTTCTGGCTTCGAAAGACCGACCACTCACGATATTCACTTTCTTGTACTTCGTCAAATTCATCTGTAAGTTGAGGTATGTTCGTATACTTTGGCACCATACTGCAAAGCGCACTCCAAGATTCACCAAATTCAGCACTGTTCTGATGTATAGCCACGTAGTGTTTTACGCCGCGACATACGACATCTTCTTCGATCTGATGAACGTGATGTTTTGTTTGAAAAGCGGTATTTGTCCATCGTACTTCAAACGACAAGGTTGGCACAGCCACACCATCACCATTTTTTTATTTTCAAGGATGTGACGAGTCACTACGCTAATCAGATAAGTTGAGCCGACATCGCTATAATATTTGCGCTCCATCCAGGTTTCCTCAGCTGGCGAAAACGCCACACTGGCTCCAACGTATCTGTTTGCGGTAGCTTCCGCCCGTATTGCGAGTTCTTTACGAAATGCAGTAGCATTTGCGTTTGAAATTTTTTGTTTTCCTTTCGATTGCGAGCGTTCAGCTGATTTTGAGTTCTTTCGAGTACTGCTAACTCGTGATTTTGCGTTCTCTTCAGTTGCTGTTCGTGGTTGGTCTGTCTTACGAGTTGCTGATTTCGGCTTGCGTTTAACTGGTAGTAGAGGTGGCGGGTTTGACTTGGCTTCACTCGTTCGTATTAGTACTCCTTCCGACTGTGATTGTCCTTGGAGGTGGATATCACTGTGCGATGTAGCAACACTCGACGTAGTTACTCCCGAAACCAACCCAGTTGTACCCCCCTGGTTTTGCCCACTCATGTTCATCACGACCGGTGCTGCTTTTTCTCGATAGCACTGCTTACTGCAGAACGAAGCGTCTCCAAAATCCAGTATCTGCTGTCCGTCCGGGTCGTACAGCTCAAGTGCTGCACAAACATCATGAGAGCAAAAATGATGCATAAATGCACCACACGTCGTGCACGACCGCTGGGTCGAGCACGGTGATTCACAAACTGAACATATTGGAGTCGAAACAGTAGACTTTGTACGTGATTGCTGAGGTTCATCGACAGTAGACGTATGAACACATATTTGTTCATCCACGACACCAATAGTAGCTTTTGGTATCGTGTGAGCCACAGGATTACCATCTAGCTGTCTAGTGCGTCTGTCGTCGTCCTTGTCACAAGTATCCAAACTCATATCTCCTTGCTCAGGTATTGAAGCAACATTTCCAGCTGTAGCACCAACTTGTAGGGCATCAAGCTCATCAATCGCACTGCTCTTCGTACCTACATTAGCACTATGCAATACTCCGACCGAGTTACCAGTTTTCACGTAAGGTGCTTCATCTGCATACGCACTGTTGAAGTACCCAACAAGTGCTTCTTCCCCCAAGAAATAGTCTTGACCATTTATTCCATTTGGGTTGCCTCCAGGACGAACGTAGCGATAGCGCAAATCCAAACTTCTACTCGACGAGGGTTTATAGGACCATCCCACACGGCGTAACACTTTCCAAACGTCCTTGAAATTCACAGAATTATCTGTTGCATAAAATAAAAAACAAACATGTTATCACCTGCTACCCGTAGTCTATAGTCTAGTGACTATACAAGTGCCACACCTCGAGAAAGCTGTGGTGTGTTGCTGGCTTGAGACCTGCGCTGACGCTTTGAAGCCCGCTCAGCCATCTCTGCGCTCAGTTCCTAACTCCTCTCGCTCGCAGCTTTTCAGAAGTGAGGTCCAAATTGGACCTCCGAGATCCACTCTGCCTCCATGGAGCATCGCCACCTTCTTCCACTGTGGCAAGGCTGTCATTCACGGTACTGCACCTTGTGCCAATGTTGGGATAGAAGGAAGATTTTCGTGTGTTTTCGACGAATCATCAGTGCCGTCAATTATTTTCAGCAAATCATATTGCAGCAATCTGAACCATACATTATGTACTGTTTTGATTAAACCCTCTCAAATGCGATTAATAAGCTCGCAAACCCCTTCGCAATTGATATACTAAAACCCTACATGATGTACGGTTTTGAAAGTTTAACTTGATTAAAGTATGTAAGGCTTAATATAGAAATGAATGGGGGTGACGAAAGGGTTAATAGATTTTGGCTTTTTTAAATTATTCATCAGCCAAAAAAACAAAACAAACCCTGTCAATCTACGATGCGTCTCCCGACGCTAGTGCTGCTCGCAGCGATCGGTATCTCTGCCCAGGATGTCCCTGAGTCGTCTCCAGAGGCTACCACTCCCCCTGAAATCTCCACTGAACGCCTAGACCGCTGCACGACGCTCGGATTCGATGCTGACGCCCTGGACTGCCAACTCTGTGACGACTTATCGAGTTTCTTAGCGCCCAAAGCGTCGAAGAAGAAGTTAAAGCAAAAGAGCGTTGAAAAAGTGACGAAAGAATGCAAGGAATGCTGTTCAGACTTCTCCAAAGTGCTGGAGGCTGAAGGGCGACGATACCCTAAAGTGGTATTGGCAGTGGACCCACGCCGCTTGAAGAGGTACCCTAAACTGGCAAATTTTGTGGAGCACCAGGCTGAGCAGATCAAGCGCCTGGAGGTGCAGGAAACCAATCCTAGACTCCCCATGCTGCAGTTCTTTGATGAAGAAGGAGCGAAGACCGAGGAGATCAGGTGCGAGGGAAAAATGCCTAATTTTGTATTTTTTTCTAATCTAATTTTAATTGCAGTGTGGCCCATTGGGACGAGAAGTCCATTGCCGAGTTCATTGAGAAGAAGCTGCTGCCAGAGAGAGAGAAGGAAGAAGAGATCGTCGAGGTGGAAGTGGAAGCTGACAAGCCTTAAAGAAGCGACAAGTGGCCTAGACCAGGAGAGCAACAACAACAAAAACTGTGAAGTGTGCTTGGTTTTTATCGTATCTTAGTGCACTTATTTTTATCCTAGGGAATACTCACAGTCGCATAGATTAGGAGGATGGATGAGTGTTCTTCTTCACTGACATGGAGCTAGCAGATCGTCGAAGTGCACGTGGGATGCGTGAAGCTTTTATTAATAATAGTGCTGGCAGCGAAAGAGTCTGAAGGATACCAGACGACAATCTGCGCAGATCGTGTGATCGCTGCTGAGTGCCTGACCCCGACGCCATGTAAGGCCCCGTGTATTAATAGTACGTGACGCCTCACTGCTTTGATTTTGCGGCGCGCGCACTTGTCGACTCGAGACTACATAGCATTGTACTGCCTTACTCGAGTGTGCTTCTGCAAGTTTGCCTTGCAATAAACCTTCATAGCAATTATGTTTGTGAACTTCGTAACGATCGGCGCACATCGCATGCGTATTTTCAGTTGTGGGGGCACATTCATTGACTCGGCGGTTGAGTCGGTCTTGGTAACGGAGCCTTGCGCTATCCCAGCCCCCAACTCCGCACGAGGGCCCATTTTTCGACAAGATATCAGCCCCTCAAGCTCTACTTGTTCAGTCGGATCAAAACCGTAGGCGTCGTATTCGTACAGCATGGTTCGCGGAGCTTGCGAGGCGCCTGGCGGATTCTGCAAACCAAGCACCGAGCCTCCAGCTGAGCTCCAGGATATCCCCGACACCCAGCAACTCGTACAACCCGAGTCAAAAGTGTCGATGCAGTCCAAACCCGCAGCTGCCCCGGCCAAAATCCTCTTCCTCGACGGTGTTCGCGGACTGGCAGCGATTCTTGTCGTGAGTCAGCACTCTCGGGAATACCTGCACGATCTGGATCTTGGCGCCTGTGCGGTGGACACTTTCTTCGTGTTATCTTCGTTCCTACTGACCATGATCTTCATGAAGAAGAGCATCCGGATGCTCGCCCAGAACGCGAGCTACCGGAAATGGACCTACAGTCTAGCGGACTATTTCTCCAAACGCTTTTTCCGAGTCTACCCATTGTTCGCCTCAGTTGTCTTTGTCGTATGGCTACTACCGTTCGACAAGCAGAAACAGTACTTTCTCGTCAAAGAACAAGGACATTTTGACTTGTTCAAGGTGCTGACGTTCAGCTTCCCTCACCGCTACTTCGTCTTCTGGACGTTGCCATTGGAGATCTCGTACTACTTTTGTCTACCTGTCTTCGTGCTGGGTGTCCTCAATCTACGTCGTTTGTGGTGGGTTCCTTTCGCTCCACTTTATATGTGGATCCTATACGCTGGCTGGCACGACCGCAGATCGAGTCACTCGCCTTTGATGCCTCACTTGCCGACATTTCTAGCTGGTTCCATGGCTGCAGCTCTGTTCGTTAAACTCGACATGTGGATGAAAGCCACAGGATTTGAGTTCAACAAGCTCCACACGGTTGCTATCCGAGCTGTCGAGTACGCTGCAGTCGCGTTGATCCTTAGTGTCTGCTTTCGGAGAAACTCGCATCCCGGTCAGCCAGTCGAGCCGACGATGTTCTTCCACTGGGTGCACAAGCCCGAGCACGACGAAGGAGGCTTCCCGTTTATCAGCGTTCCCGTTACGTTGGTCATTGTGATCGAGATGCTGCTGCCTTCTTGCGTCTCTGCGATGTTCGAGTGGAGCGTGCTGCGATACTGGGGCAAGATCAGCTTCTCCGTGTATCTGCTGCACAGCTTCGTAGTCTTCAGCGACATCTACGGCAAAGATCCGAGTTTGTACTACGATCGGCTGTTCACGCGTTTTGGTCTCATCCTCATACTATGCACGGCGTCTTACCACCTGATTGAATACCCGTCGCAATTGCTAGCCCAGCGTATCACGCGAGAACTGGCACAACAGGAAGCCAAAGGCCCTGGGAGGCTTACTTTACCGTTCAAATTCGACGTCAAGCATCAGCTCTTCCGAGTTCCTAACACAACGCAGATTGCCTAGACATCAAGATGCACACTATAAATGATGAATATCAAGCATGTCACGTTTCAGAAACCTTACGTCGAACAACGTAAAGGTTTCTTCATAACTGCGCTATCCGGGATATTCACTGCTCCTGAAGGAGCCGAGCCGACACTATAGCGTTTGTGCATTTATTAGTAGCCGTTCGATTCGAAATTGCGTCGAGAGCGAAAGGATTTTTCGGAAAGGTGTACTGCATCACAGGTTCACAGTTCACTAAGTGAACTTCACTGTGATGGGAACGGAACCTTCAAATACCTGAAAGCTATTAAACCCTTCGTACATTTCACCTTTGTTTGTATAAAGCATTCGTACATATCACCTTTGTTTGTACTATAATAGCACCTTGGTGAAAATGATCAGAGCGGGTATCAGCGCTTTCTTGCATTGATCCAAGCCACAACAATTCAAAGCGTAGCAAATGTTCGATTACCAAATGAGCGGTTTCAACATTACGGCAATCGTGACGGTGCATGTACAGTAATACAAGCGGGTCTGCATTTTCCATCGACAGCGGTGCTTCAAGCACTGCTTGGACTAAGATGTAGCTCGTCGGCTTCAGCTTCTGTGGCGAGCACTTAGACGTCGTGCAACGATGGCCCCCAACTCTTTTCTTTGTCGTGCGGCTTTCCACTTTGCATCGCACTCGTGTCAACGCGCTAGATTGATAGACTTTGACGATGTGAGATTCTCATGGCGTCGCTACATCCTCCAGATCGTCTTTAGGCGTCAAGGCGTCGATGGCTCGTTTCCAGCGTGACTTCGCGCTACAATTTCATGAACAACCTCAGTGAAACTTGTGCCGCCAAAAGACATCACCCGCCAACACAAGCACATGGCGGCAAGTGTCTGTAAAAAAAACGCAAGAGTCCAAACAAACGAGTGCTTTAATTTTAAGCTGCAGGATGTTCATATGACAGCGATTTACCGCTGGAAGATTGAATGTAGATCTCGTTATTCGAACAGCCACAAGAGCTGCTCACGAGGATTGGCGGTTGAAGGCCCTTTCGAAGGGAGACGATGCGGATAAAAGTTTGGTACTCATTTGAGCTCTGCTCATGGCGATGGCACGGGGTTGCCACCTTGCTGGACGAACTCATGGTTGACGGCGCATCAAGCAGCAAGACAAACGTACGAGATGCCAGACCGAGAAACGGCTCTGCATCTCTACATTTTTTTGTTTTCATCCCGCGTGTCAACAATGGGGTGTTATTAATATTATAATAACAAAATGCCTCTCAAGTTAAAAAGTGTCAATGATGTGTCCTAATTGGTGACATAGCGTACAAGTTATTGTACAGAATGTCTTACCATACAAAATATGTTCTGGACCCAATCCTGCATAAGTCGATACATCACCTTTTACAGGAAAGATAAATCAATGGTGCCAGGAAACTCTCTGAAGACAGACTCATAAAATTCAATCACATCTCTTTTTTCTTCCTTCTACTCAAGCCTTCAATAAAAAGGCGTTTGGCCACCAGAGCACACTGCCACAAATTGGCGCGGAGAAACGAGGCCTGCACAATCATCAAGCAGAGCGCTGCTTATAAATATCCGGTCGAATCTCTAAAAACACATCAAACGGGAAACACATAACGACATGGTCGGGGCGTTCGACGGGCCCTTCTGCCATCGAGCCCAACTCGGAGGTCGTACTACATGTACGACTCGTAGGCTACGACGTAGCCGTCCCGACTGCTCTGGAATGAATGTCCCGTGAAGGTAAGTGCTGTATTGTTGGTGTGAATGTGCTCTGAATGTGACGTGTTGTGCGCATCCGAAACCAGGGCTTAACTGCTGGAAAGGAAGACCTCAAACTCCGCCGAGTCGCTGGGCGTAGAAGCTTCTACGCCGCAGCTTCCACATCACAGCCCCACGTCGTCATGGTTGGGCTCACTTCCACTCAGCTCCCCCCTGACTCGCTACATGCCGGTGATACTATCGCCTACTACACGCGTATGTACGTCGCCGGCGACCATCGTGGGTACCGCGAGGCTGTCATCCTATGGGTTGACGCGACCCCTGGCTTGGAACACCCTATCAAAGTAACCACAGACGAGTTAATTCAGCTCACTCAGATGATTGTGCGGGTCAGCGACAGCGATGGAACGCGTGTCAATGGTAAATGGCGCATGCTCCGCACCTTCTCCCTCGTGTCCGGGATGTTCGACGCTCAATCCGACCGCTCATTATTGTGCGATAAGGTGAACGGCATCATCAACGCAGTCTTTGCTGGTCAAAGGAACATTGGCCGCGCTATACGTGACCAGATCGATGCTAAACCCTGCTCATTGAATGCCTTAGGCATTGCAAAACGTGCGAGCCCGCCCCACACCTCCATTTCTTCAGATGTTGAGATTACAAGAGACGTAGTGGCCCTTAACGGCGCCAACGATGGGGAAGAGTATGAGGGAAGAGACCTAGCGCCTATTTCAATGGCCTCAGCAATGAATTTAACAAGCTCGCAGTTTATGGACGATAATAAGAGGTCCAGCACCCACCTTAATCGTACGGTGGCCCACGCTCAGCAACCCACGGATTCAGCCACCGTTGGTCAAGCCTCACGAAGTGAGGACTTTGGCAATGGTCCCAGCACATGCGCCAAGGAGGTTTTTGAATTAAGTTCTGGTCCAGACATCGTGTATCCTCGCTGCGAAGAAGAAGAACCCGAGGGCCGATCCGAGTCGGATACTCCAGCACTTTGTACTGCTCCACCACCCAACGCTCTCTTGTCGGAAGGTGCTGGGCTACTGGACGTGTCTGCTGTGGCTGAGTATTTAAATACCGTTCCCACGCGCTTGGAACGGTCGAAGATACGACACCAGGCAAAGAAGCGTGCTAGCACTTGGCACGTGCCGAGATCACGCAAGAAAAGACACCAAAAGAAATATGCCGTAACACGTAGCGGATCAAGCATCCATCACGCCCACTCCGTCAAAGCCAAGAAAATGAAGGAACTGTTGCGGATGCCGAGCATGAGAGCGAAGCTGAACGCCGTACGAAGCTACAGGCCGGTGTTTGTGGAGCCCAAACCCCCTCCTCCAAGTAACGTCACTTAAATAAATGTGTACGAGACGTACGTAATGGAGGAGGTAGCGTGGCCAGACTGGGTGGAGCCTATCACCAGGAACCAGCTCCATTTGTAGAGGTGTTAGACCTCAGAACGTAAGTGCGGGCCCAACCGTCGTTGGTCGTCCTCCTCGCTGCCCTGAGTTCTTGGAGGCCGCTGCGCCACTACTCTTCTGCATGTTGCGAGAGATTAGGATTTCACGTCCGCTTGCGTCAATGTAATCTTGTGTTCGTACAGCATAGAGTACGTGTACGCAGACCCCAAATGCGTAGCAGTAGTTGCAGTCACACCACCGACGATTCAAATCTACATTCCAGCCTCCTTCGGGCTGCCCTTCCACCTCCATTCTAGCGTAGTTAAGTTCCATTTGAGCCGAGACAGCGATGCCGTGTTCTGACCGGTTGTTAGGGGCAACCGCAATCCGTTTCGCGAGCCGGGAGGCGATTCGAATGCACCCAGGAGGCTCCAAAGCGCCAGGTTGTTCCCCACCCAGACCTAATAGATTCTCTCGGACTAATTCCCGCACGCGACGTGTGAGGGTTTCCGACGGGAGCACCTCCATTTGAAATGGGCGCTCGTTGGCCGACTGGTCCTCGCAACAATTGGCCAGCTCCACTAATAGCACACCCATTTTTAGACGCCGACGTAACGTGTAGTCTCGTTTCAGGATAGCGCTGAAAGTTTCGACCGGGTTGTTGGTTGATGCAAAGCCACTGGGTGTTGAGTATAACTGCCAGCCACTGAAGTGGCCACTCAACCATTGGCCACTCATATATTGAGCGAAGTCCACCAACATTGGGACGTTCATCCACTTCCTTAGCAGAGCGTCCCGCATTCTCGTAAAGTCTAGATGTGTTCGGGTGAAGTGTAGGTCGTACAGGTCGTGGGTAATATTAGACGATACAAACGAGGGAAACTGCTTGATCGCCTTGTAGACCTTCTCCATCACGTGAAAGAAGCACATGAGGCTCTAGAACTGAGGGTTGTCTCCAAAAACGACGTTTAAAGCGTTAGACTGGGCCTTGTCTGCGTCAGCCATCGCGTAGCGAACAACTAGATCGCGACCGGTGAGCCAGCAGTACAGACACCTTAGCGCCATGAGCATCGGTTGTATAATTTCTTGTGTTTCACCTGATACAATGTACAGCGCCACCAGATGAAGCCTACGCGACCTATCGGAGATGCCGACCACATGTACCGGATATCCGCGATAGTTTAACTTGTACGTCGCGTCCACATGAAGTATGTAGCTGTCCGGCGGCCGCATTAGCCGAAGCATTAGGGTCTTGGTCGTTAAACCAATAACGAACGGCCGTTCTTCCGATCCGTTTCCGACCACTGGCTTGCCTTGCTCATCCATATTCCAGGCGAATGTGAAGGTCTGGGACATGGCCTCTCGTCCGGTGTACGCCCTCGCGTGGATCCAGGTCCTCAAATCGTCCACTATGTCATTCCGCGACAAGTTCTTCCTGGAGTAGTAGTTGACGAAGTTCTGGACGGTGCCCAAGCTTGGCAAGTCCTGAAGCACCGCTCCAAACGTCCGTGCCATCGCATTGCGTATACGGACAGGCCGCAGATGTTGTGTCGTGAGCTCACGGCAGTATATCTTCTGCAGCTCCGTCACTTTCTTCTTCTTGGGGAAGTTTATCGCTGTGGCGTGCTCCCCCACCTCGAATATTGACACTACGTCGCTAACCTGGCAAGAGAGGGTTTTGCCGCGCCAAGAACAAGCGTGTACACCAGAGGAAACGGCCGCCTTGCACGCTGTTGACGAGCACTGAAGCATCCTGTACCTCATCTTGTGTGGGGCATCGTCGAGGCAAACTGTACATGCGTACAAATTGCTCTTTGTAACGGGGTACGTAGCACTAAGTGTACCCTGGTTACATGAAGTGTGACACTTCAC